TTTAAACTACTTGAGCACAACCCTGTTCAATATGTTTTTTCTCATTGGCCTTAAGAAAAGAAAAAGAGCCCAGAGGAGTCTGAACTATGTGAGGTATGCAAAATTTATCAGGCCAGAGAGAGATGAGTTTGGGACTTCAATCATGTCCCCACATCCCTGTATTAGTTGGTTCTAACACTGCTATAACGACATACCCAAGACTGAGTAATTTATAAAGAAAAGAGGTTTAATTGACCCCAAGTTCCACATGTGGGGGGGGGACATCAGGAAACTTAACAATCATGGTGGAAGGGGAAGAGGCACGTCTTACGTGGTGGCAGGTGAGAGGGAGCAAGCGAGAGTAGGGGAAACTGCCTTATAAAACCACCAGAACAGCATGGGGGAAACCATGCCCATGATCCAGTCACCTCCCACCGTGTGTGGTTCCTCCCTCCATATGTGTGGATTGTGGGGATTACAATTCAAGATGAGATCTGTGTGGGGACACAGAGCCAAACTGTATCAATCACCACACTTGGGGGGCAATTGTTTAAAGTCACATTGCTCCTTACTACCTGCTTCATCCATATTAATGTTCTTGGAGTTTGTGATACAAAGAACAATGTATAGCCAATCAACAGCTTATGTTATTTTAATGTATGTTACTGGTAAACAATTTAGGAACTGCCTCTTCTTTCTGCTTTAAAAACCTACTTGTAAGTGCTGTTAATTAGAGCATATATTCAGGGCAATTTGAATACACATGCTTTCATGCGGCAGTTCTCAAACTTGGTTCAAATAAACTCTCTACTTACATTAATTTTGCCTCGGTTTTTTCCCTTTAGGTTGACAATATTGCATCAAGTTGAATGCTCACAGCAATTGTATGAACGAGATGGTATTTATTATTGGCCCTACTTTATACCTGAGGAACAGAGAAGTTGAACAACTTGTCCAATATCACAGTTTGACAGCAGGAGGACCATTATTTGAAGCAGGCACTCTGATTGCAGACACCCAGTTTTTACACTTTTACACGTTGTACTATATTGTTTTCTGAACTCCAAGATTCCATGGATCTTTGACTTTTTAAAAAATTTCACTTTTTTTTTTTTTTTTTTTTGAGAAGTACTACAACACGATGTGTGTGTGTATTCACATACATTTTTGGAAAACATAATCTGAAAAAAAAAAGCCAAAACACTTCACATGAACGGAGAGCCAAAGGAAGGTCTGGGGTACAGATGCTGTCCAGAAATACTTAAAAATAAATGTATTATATTAACACAGACTAGCAGCCATCCCCCTACACCCTGGGTACTTTTTAACCCAATCTGCTAGGATTAAGGGCGGGAGTCCAGGTTCCCGCAAGCCCGCGGCAGCCGCGCATGCTCGGAGCACAGGGACCGCTCCAGCGTGTCCGTGGCCCCGCCCACCCAGGCCGCAAGGACTGCCGGGACGGCCCCCATCTTCTTTGGGCGCTTTAGGCCGGCCGGCTGCGCTGGGGAGTCGAGTCGTTGGTGTTGCTGTTTGTAAGCCTGTGGCGCGGCTCTGTGGGACCAGAACCTTAAAGGTGAGAAACTCTCGGTGGCTAATGAAAAGCTACAAAACGGCCCACTTTGCTGGTGCGCGATAGCGCGTTTCCGTTCCTTACTGCCTCTCGCGGCGCCGTCAGCCTTTCGCTTTCCTCACGTTCAGGCCGAGCGCCGCGTGGGCCGCAGCCGGCGGCGGCGGCGGAGCGGTGGGGGCGCCGGCGCCGGCGTCGGCGAGCCTCCCCCCGCGACGAGTGTAGGAGCCTGGAGTTCCCGGCATGTGGCTGGTGCCCAGGCAGTTCAGCGGTTGCTTTGAGGCGGCACTGTGGCTGCCCCATCCCCATTGCGTCCTTTCGGTTTTTTACCTCTACCGCGTTCTAGTCTCACCGAAGGCTTGTGGCCATCCCTGCAAGTTTCTGGGAAGGTGAGCACGGGGTAAACGTCTGTGGAGCCTGTGGACTGACTGGAAGCCAAAGAACTTAGGGCCGCAGATCCACCCCAGCGTCACTCTTTTGGTCTTTTAGGGCCTTCATCGCTCACATCAGGTTTCGGTGTGAAACGGAAAAACGTGGGTAATATTTCACTTCCAGTCGTACATTCAGGAAAAGTAAGCGATGAAACGCAGTCCCAAAATTAGGTAGGCCAGATAGGTTTTGCAGGGACTAGATAGTTGTTTTACCTCATGGTTTGCTCTATAAGGGGCCCTAGATCACGGTAGTAACTTAGATTGTAGATTGTGATAGACAAGACAATGCATAACATTGAGTAAATTCTTCAGGGGGATGTGCATCACGCAGTACCCCGATGCAAGTGCTTCGTATCTGCATCCAGGGTAGTGAATGCAATTGCATTTTGTCAGGTGATGCTTCCAAGAAGTGTACCTATATCAGGTCATAACTAGAGTCAGTTAATGGCAATATTCTTGATGGTTTGTTCACATAACTTTTGTACAATATGGATGACTGGGTGGCTTAGTAGAGTCCTGGAGGTAAGTACTTCGTAATTAGAAGACTTGGTTTGTAATTTCTAGCAAACCAGTATCATAGCCTCCTTTTTTCCTTGAAGTGCTCATGTCAGGAATGCGAAACAGGAAACTGGCTATCCAATGTATTCGTGAATTAGTAGGCATACTCCCCAGTTTATATCGTGTCAGTGTGACCACATTCTCCAATTTTTGTTTTCGTATGTTCCTTAGCATAGAGTGTCTAAGGAACTGGAGTGTGTGTTTGGATTTTTTTCACCTTAAAGTTATGATACCTAACTTGCTGATAACAAGATTTGGGTAAGTTAGCTGTGACTGCATTTTAAAAGAAATGAGGCAGGGCTTGGTGCCTCACACCTGTAATCTCAGCACTTTGGGAGGCCGAGGTGGGTGGATCGCCTGAGGTCAGGAGTTCAAGACCAGCCTGAACAACATGGTGAAATCTCTTTCTACCAAAAATACAAAAATTATGCCGGGCTCAGTGGCTCATGCCTGTAATCCCAGCACCTGTGGAGGCCGAGGTGGGTGGATCGCCTGAGGTGGAGAGTTCGAGACCAGCCTGACTAACATCGAGAAACCCACGTCTCTACTAAAAATACAAAATTAGCTGGGCATGGTGGCGCATGCCTGTAATGCCAGCCACTCGGGAGGCTGAGGCAGGAGAATCGCTTGAACGCGGGAGGGGGAGGTTGCCGTGAGCGGAGATCATGCCATTGCACTTCAGCCTGGGCAACAAGAGCGAGCGAAACTCTTGTCTAAAAAAGAAAAAAAAAAAAAAAAAAAAAAAAAGAAAAAAAGAAACGAGACGAAACAAATGCACGGTGATATACTGAAAGATAATATTTTTTGAAGCTGGAAATGGTCGGTCAGTGATTGGAGTTTTTTTTTTTTCCCTAAAGCTTGCTTGACCAGCTAAATGAAGATAAAGAGTTTCTTGTTACAGAGGATGGGGTAGTGATTTACTGAAAGAGGGGCAGCTTTTTTCATAGTCTTTAGATATTTGTCATTACTTACTCCAAAGTGTTGCTTTGTTGAGATATTTGAGAATTGAGTAAAGAAACTGAACCTGTAAAATGAGAAATTCTTGATTTTTTTTAAAGAAAACAATGAGATATGAATACTTTGTAAACATTTTCTTTCTAGTCTTGAGTTTTATATTAAAAATAACTTTATGCTAATTTGGTAAATTTTACAGATAGCCACAATGGCTGAAAATGGTGATAATGAAAAGATGGCTGCCCTGGAGGCGAAAATCTGTCATCAAATTGAGGTATGAGTCCTGTGCTATAAACTGCAAAAACAAGTTCCTTGAAAGAAAATGGACGACCTCAACACAAATAGAGAAAGAACATTTACTTTGAGTATATGGACATATTCAACATTTGGCTTGTCTTTGATTCTTAGATGAACATATAATGACATACAGTTTTATATTGGTGGAGCCAGGTTATGAAACTCAAGATGTACAAACATTTCAAAAGGTTAATACTATAAGCTAGTGTTATCTTTTTAAAATTTTAGTTGCATGGTTTTATATAAAATTTTAACTTCATAGTCTCATATAAAATGAGGGTATTTCCTTCCTCATAAGATGGTTTGGAGTATTACATTAGTGAATAAAATGTTAAGCACTTAGAAGAATGCCTGACACATAAATAACATTAAAATCCTTGGTAAAGTACCTTCCCTGTGAAATAACACTATATTTTTGGTCATCCTAGTAGTTTTTCTCTGCCCAAACAGTTCTCACCGATTGTAACTTTAATTTTTTTTTTTTTTTTAGGCAGAGTCTCACTCTGTTGGCCGGGCTGGAGTGCAGTGGCACTATCTTGGCTCACTACAGCAATTTTGGCTTACTGCAGCCTCCGCCTCCCACGTTCAAACAATTCTTCTGCCTCAGCCTCCCGAGTAGCTGGGACTACAGGAGCATACCACCACACCTGGATAATTTTGTATTTTTAGTAGAGATGGGGTTTCACCATGTTGGCCAGGCTTGGTCTCGAACTCCAGACCTCAGGTGATCTGCCTGCCTCGGCCTGCAAAAGTGCTGGGATTACAAGTGTGAGCCATTGTACCCAGCCATTGTGGGAGGATTGGCAGAGCCCAGAAAGTAGAGGTGATCATACCACTGCACTCCAGCCTGGATGACAGAACCAGACACTCTTTGGGGGGTGGAGGGGTGATGGAAGGAAACCTGAGAGTCTTTGTGAGCATACTCTGGCTCGGGAGGCTGCCTGATTTGCAAATCATTTTTTGTTCAATTAAACTCTATTTAAAAAGAAAAAACCTTTACAGTATCAATAATGGTTTCATGGGAAATTATCTTTAAATTTACATTCTTGCTAAGGAACCCCTCAGATCATATTGTTTGGTGTGGGGTTTTTCTGCAGTTCTCAGAACTACTTTTTTTTAAAGCTATACCTCTCTGCATTTAACATGTCCTATGTTCCTTTTTTGTTATTAATTTCTTTATGATTGTGGGGAGAAAAATGAGAAGTTACTCATTCTGTGTTTAATACTTAAAAAGTTATATCTCTCCCACAACCTGCCAACTCTCAAATCCTACTTTTCTGAGGTAATCAAGTTTCAAAGCTTTTGACATTTGCTTCATGCTCATGCTAATTTTTTTTAGTGGCCCTTATATGTTACAACAGTTCTAGGTTCAGAGTAAAATTGAATGGAAGGTACAGAGATTTTCCATATATCCCCTGCCACCACACAAGCATAATGTCTTCATCTTTACAAACATCCCCCACCAGAGTGGTGCATTTCTAACGATTTTATTTCCTTCCGTTTCCCCCACTAAATATAGGATACATTTTTGTGGAGAATTTTTCTGTCATCAATAATTTATTCTTTCTCCTCTTTAATATGTAGGATCTAATTTGTTTTTTTATTTAAGCTCTAATCGTTCTTTGACAAATATATATAAATCTTAGTAAACATGTTTATCGATTTCTTCAAGGTAGAATTGTTGGAGCTATGCTGGCTCCAGGATTATGCACATTAAAAAAAAACCTGATAATTGTCAATTTACACCTACCTGCATATCTAGTTCTCTGTGTTCAAGTCAATACTAGGTATTCTTTGTTTTTTTCCTAATCTTAGCCAGTTTGTTAGGTAAAAAATGCTGTCTCATTGCTTTAAATTGTATTTCTTTGATTGATAATGAAATGAGGTTGGTTTTTTTTAGTTTACAGTACTTTTTTTTTTTTATAATTTTTTTTCTTTTTTGAGGCAGAGTCTCACTCATCTCCCAGGCTGGAATGCAGAGTGCGGTGGTGTGATCTTGGCTCACTGCAACCTCCACCTCCCAGGTTCACGTGATTCTCCTGCCTCAGCCTCCCAAGTGGCTGGGATTACAGGTGCACACCACCATCCTTGGCTAATTTTTGTATTTTTAGTGGAGACAGGGTTTCACCATGTTGGCCAGGCTGGTTTTGAACTCCTGACCTTAAGTGATCCACCTGCTTTGGCCTCCCAAAGTGCTGGGATTACAGGCGTGAGTCACTGCTCCTGGCCTATTTTTAATAATTAAAAAAAAAAAATCGTTAGCTGGGCATGGTGGCATGTGCCTGTCGTCCTAGCTACTTGGAAGGCTGAGGTGGAAGGATCAGTTGAGCCTGGGAGTTTCAGGCTGCACTGAGCTATGATTGTACCACTGCACTCCAGCTTGGGCAACAAAGACACATCCTATCTCTGAAAAATAAAGTGTCCTTTTTTTTTTTCAACTGGAATGAGAACATTTTCTCAGTTTTTTTTTTTTTTGTTTTTTTTTGTTTTTAAGACAGAGAGAGTATTGCTCTGCGCCCAGGCCAGAGTGCAGTGGCAGTGATCTCGGCTCACTGCAACCTCCACCTCCTGGGTTCAAGCTAGTCTCATGCCGTAGCCACACGCATAGTTGGGATTAGAGGTGTGCACCACCATGTGCAGCTGAGTTTTGTATTTTTAGTAGAGGCAGGGTTTCACCACATTGGCCAGTCTGTGCTCAAACTCCTGGCCTCAAGAAATTGACCCAGCTCAGCCTCCGAAAGTGCTGGGAGTACGTTTGAGAGCCACTGTGCCAGGCCATTAAAATATCCTTTACCTATTTTCTATTCGAGTGTTTGCTTTTTACCTTCCTTCTTTGTAAGAATTCTTGACAAATTTGTTTGTCTTTTACTTTTTCTGTTACTTCTGGCATTCCAAATAGTCATACTTGGGTTTTTCCTTCGCTTGTACATTGAGAGTGCTTCTGTGCTTATATTCAATAAACATTTACTTTAACTTTTTTTTTTTTTTTGGGACGGAGTTTCGCTCTTGTTACCCAGGCTGGAGTGCAATGGCGCGATCTCGGCTCACCGCAACCTCCGCCTCCTGGGTTCAGGCAATTCTCCTGCCTCAGCCTCCTGAGTAGCTGGGATTACAGGCACGCGCCACCATGCCCAGCTAATTTTTTGTATTTTTAGTAGAGACGGGGTTTCACGGTGTTGACCAGGATGGTCTCAATCTCTTGACCTCGTGATCCACCCGCCTCGGCCTCCCAAAGTGCTGGGATTACAGGCTTGAGCCACCGCGCCCGGCCCGACTTTAACTTTTTTTGAGGAAGCATCTCTCTTGGTTGCCCAGGCTCTGGAGTAACAGTGGCGCAATTATGCCTCACTGGAGCTTCCACCAGGCTCAAGTGATCCTCCCATTTCAGCTTCCTGAGCTGGGACTACAGGCAATGTACCACCATGCCTGGTCTTTTTTGTAGAGCTGGGGTCTCACCATGTTGTTTGGACTGGTCTTGAACTCCTAGGCTCAAGTGATCTGCCCACCTCAGCCTCCTAAAGTGCTGAGATTAGACATGAACCACCACCCTGGCCCTTATTTTTATTTTTTTGAGATAGAGTCACGCTCTGTTGTGCAGGCTGGAGTGCAGTGGCGCGATCTTGGCTCACTGCAACTTCTCCCTCCTGGGTTCAAGCAATTCTCCTGCCTCAGCCTCCCCAGTAGCTGGGACTACAAGTGTGCACCACCACACCCAGCTAATTTTTGTAATTTTAGTAGAGACGGGGTTTCACCATGTTGGCCAGGGTGGTCTCGATCTCTTGACTTTGTGATTCAGCTATAGGTGTGAGCCACTGTGCCTGGCCCTTGGCCCTTACTTTTAATTTAAAAAAATTAGAAGGCCAGGTGCAGTGGTTCACGACTGCAACCCCAGCACTTTGGGAGGCTGAGGCATTGGGATCACTTCAGATCAGTTCAAGGCCAACACGATGAAACCTTGTTTCTAGTAAAAATACAAAAATTAGCTGGGTGTAGTGGCGCATACCTGTAATCCCAGCTACTTTGGGAGGCTGAGACAGGAGAACTGCTTGAACCTGGGAGGCAGCGGTTGCAGTAAGCCCAGATTATTCACTCCAGCCTGGGTGACAGAGTGAGACTCCATCTCAAAAAAAAAAAAAAAAAAAAAAGTGATTAGCCAGTTTATTCCAGTTATTTTAACCATCTAGTCTTTCCACAGTAATTTGCAAGAGGCTTTTCATATAATCTTTAAATATATTCTTCCTTGTTTTAAGGCTTTCTAGTCTATTAACACATCTGTTACACTGTTTAAGTAATTGACATTTTAGTTTTATCTTTTTGTTAATTTGTATTGTAAACATATCGTATTTTAATTTGTAAACATTTTATATCGTATATTTGGGGGAAGATGTTTATTGCCTTTTGTAACTTGTGACATGTATTTTTAAATAACAGAACTTGGTACTGGAAAGTAATAAGAAATGTCAGGATTGGAGTCCATATTATACAGTGTTCTGAAATACATTGTATTATCTCACAGTATTATTTTGGGGACTTCAATTTGCCACGGGACAAGTTTTTAAAGGAACAGATAAAGCTGGATGAAGGCTGGGTACCTTTGGAGATAATGATAAAATTCAACAGGTAACAAGCTTTTAAAAATAATCTTGCGGTTTTCTGTTTACAGTGAGTGCTACTGCTGAGTCTTACATTTTTATATGTATACTTCAGGTTGAACCGTCTAACAACAGACTTTAATGTAATTGTGGAAGCATTGAGCAAATCCAAGGCAGAGCTCATGGAAATTAGTGAAGATAAAACTAAAATCAGAAGGTCTCCAAGCAAACCGCTACCTGAAGTGACTGATGAGTATAAAAATGATGTAAAAAACAGATCTGTTTATATTGTAAGTGAGCCTTTAATGCATTTAAATATCTTACATTTATTTAGAAAGTACAGCAGAGTAGGCTGGGCGCAGTGGCTCAAGCCTGTAATCCCAGCACTTTGGGAGGCCGAGGCGGGTGGATCACGAGGTCAAGAGATCGAGACCATCCTGGTCAACATGGTGAAATCCTGTCTCTACTAAAAATACAAAAACATTAGCTGGGCATGGTGGTGCGTGCCTGTAATCCCAGCTACTCAGGAGGCTGAGGCAGGAGAATTGCCTGAACCCAGGAGGCGGAGGTTGCGGTGAGCCGAGATTGCGCCATTGCACTCCAGCCTGGGTAACATGAGTGAAACTCCGTCTCAAAAAAAAAAAAAAAAAAAAAAAAAAAAAGAAAGTACAGCAGAGTAAAGAAGAGTAAGGGATCAGGAATCACAGCCTCACTAATTACTGTGTATTCTTTTGTAAATATTCTTAACCTAAGTTTTTTTGTTTTGTTTTGTTTTTGAGACAGAGTCTCGTCCTGTTGCTCGTTGGAGTGCAGTGGTGTGATCATGGCTCAGTGCAGCGTTGACCTTCTGGGCTTAAGTGATCTTCCGGGCTTAAGTGATCTTCCCACCTCAGCCTCCTGAGTAGCTGGGACTATAGGCATATGTGGCTGTACTAAAAATTTGGCCATACCTGGCTAAAAATTTTTTGTAGAGACAGGGGTCTCCCTGTATTGCCCAGGCTGGTGTCGAACTTCTGGGCTCCAGTGATCCACTCACCTTGACCTCCCAAAGTACTGGGATTATAGGCGTGAGCCACCATGCTTGGTCCTAAGTTTTATCTTCATAAACATGGATATTTTCTACCTTGTAGAACTGTTGTGAGAATTAAATGAAAAAGAAAAACAAAAAAAAACCGTCCTACCATTGGATGAAATCTTTGGCATATTCTAAGCACTTACAGCATATTAGCTGTTCTTATCTATCAGCTGCTAAACTTGATTGCAGTTTTCTTTAGCATATTTTTAAATAGTTTATAATGGAAAATTTCAGATACATATATAAATAGGTTGAATAATGTACCATCACCCAGCTTTAGTAGTTCTTAGCAGAACACGTAAATCATCTTGTTTTATTTCTGCCTCAACTGAATTATTTTGTTTTTTTTTTGTTGTTGTTGTTGAGACGGAGTTTCACTCATGTTACCCAGGCTGGAGTGCAATGGCGCGATCTCGGCTCACCGCAACCTCCGCCTCCTGGGTTCAGGCAATTCTCCTGCCTCAGCCTCCTGAGTAGCTGGGATTACAGGCATGCACCACCATGCCCAGCTAATTTTTTGTATTTTTAGTAGAGACGGGGTTTCACCATGTTGACCAGGTTGGTCTCGATCTCTTGACCTCGTGATCCACCCGCCTCGGCCTCCCAAAGTGCTGGGATTACAGGCTTGAGCCACCGCGCCCGGCCCTGAATTATTTTGAAGCAAATACCAGATGAGTCAATTTTATTGCACCGGAGAATAGTGGCTCCTACACAAGGTTTTTAAGTGATTACTAAAAAGAGAAATAGAGATAGATAGGTATATCCTGCTTCATTTCAAGATAAAATGAATCAAATTCTCTCCAGTTGTTTATCTGAGAAGTCATTATTTGTTGTTTGTACATTTCTTCCCACTCTTCACAGAAAGGCTTCCCAACTGATGCAACTCTTGATGACATAAAAGAATGGTTAGAAGATAAAGGTCAAGTACTAAATATTCAGATGAGAAGAACACTGCATAAAGCATTTAAGGTATGATCATACCGACTTTTTTGAGTTCGAAAATATATGGGACATAACTTAATATTTTCCTTCCTTTTTATAGGGATCAATTTTTGTTGTGTTCGATAGCATTGAATCTGCTAAGAAGTTTGTAGAGACCCCTGGCCAGAAGTACAAAGACACAGACCTGCTAATACTTTTCAAGTAAGTCTTTTTGCTGATGTTTCTCCTGGCCTTTTAGTTATATGGAATTGACACACTAGGGTAAGGAGCATGGAAGTAGCATCCTCTCTAAGGCTAAAGATTTTTAATATCTTTAGATGTCCTTTGAGAAATGCTTGATATTTGCTCGGTGAGAATTATAGTCTTTTGAGACTATAAGAAAAGTGTTCATTAGTACCTTTTCACTGTTAGCAATGTTTTTTTTTTTTTTTGAGACGGAGTTTCATTTTTACTGCCCAGGCTGGAGTGCAATGGTGCAGTCTTGGCTCACTGCAGCCTCTCCCTCCTGCGTTCAAGTGATTCTCCTGCCTCAGCCTCCTGAGTAGCTGGGATTACAGGTGGCTGCCACCATACCCAGCTAATTTTTGTATTTTTAGTAGAGATGGGTTTCACCATGTTGGCCAGGCAGGTCTCGAACTCCTGACCTCAGGTGATCTACCCACCTTTGCTTCTCAAAGTGTTGGGATTACAGGTTTGAGCCACTGCCCCCAGCCACTGTTAGCCATTATTAAAGGAGGTTATATTTTAGTACTGATTTTGCATCTAAAACTTTTAGTCAGGCTGGGTATTAAAATTTGGGCTTTTGTGTGTTTGCAAAATGTATCAGTGCAGTTTTCATCTTAATTTTTCATAGCCTATATATTTTTAACAGTAGAAAGGATTATTGGAAATTTGGATCACATTCTTTGTGTTTATATGTGTGTGTCTGTCTCAGTGTCTGAAAATGGGGATGAACCAGAGCATTTTCATAATAAAACTAGTTGTAGGGCCATAGTTTCTGACTTTAGAAGACTGTGTATAGTCTTCTAAATGGTATATACAAAACCTGATTGACTTAAGAGATGCACTCTGATGGATCATAGTATCAGTGTTAAACCCTCAAACATTATTTAACATGGTTTTCATCATTGCTGTTATTCTTGGGTCTTGGGGATTTTAGAATTTTCTCCTTTTGTGAAATTAACACCATAGAGGACTGAAATATTATTTGCTTGACTTCAGATGCACTTCCCCCCCCGCCATACATGAATGATAAATGAAAATCAACATGAGATTGCTGATGGGCAGGGGGTTTCTTTTTGGGGTCATGAAAATGTTCTGAAATTAGTAGTGATGGTTGTACAACTCTGAATATACTAAAAAACATTCGAGGTACACTTTAAAAGAGTGAATTTTGTGGCACATGGATGTCTTTTCCTTAGTAAGGCTGTTATTTAAAAAAACATGAGTAACTTCCTTGGCATATTTTGAAGTTTTAGTTGATGATTATGTTGATAGTAAATGTGTACAACATTCATTGCTGTGCCATGTCTTAAGTCACTCAAAATATTCTGCAGTCTTAACTTTGTTCTCATGAACTTAGCCTCTGTACTGTGTGTTCTTTAGGGATGATTACTTTGCCAAAAAAAATGAAGAAAGGAAACAAAATAAAGTGGAAGCAAAATTAAGGGCTAAACAGTAAGTACATTGAACTAATAGTGACATAATTTAAATTCCTTAAAGCTTTGACAAAAGTATAGTTGGTGAGCTCTGAAATACTGGCAATAGGCCCTTCTCTTTGCTAGTGAAACACTGAGATCTTAAGCTGCCTTGACAATCTGGGGGCAAAATTGCATTGCCGTCTAGCATTGCATGATCAAAAAACTTAAGGACGTCTGGCTTTGGTTAAATAGTTTAGTGATCATGAGTGGTTAACCGTATTAGCACTTTGTTTTCTTATATAGTAAGTGGAAATATGTTATAATTACAATATTTTTATTTGTAGAGAGCAAGAAGCAAAACAAAAGTTAGAAGAAGATGCTGAAATGGTAAGTATATATATTACTGGTAGCTAGTGCATCTGTAATTCAAAGTTAAATGAATAGGTTTTAAGTCTGAGGACTTTTTAAAAAAAATTTGTAAGCAAAGCTATCTATAGTTGTCATTGAACTAAAGTAATGTATCAGGTACTATATTGAAGGAAAAGAGAACACTAAGGATAAGAAATATGTTTTAAAATAAGGAAAAGGCTGGGCACAGTAGCTCATGCCTGTAATCACAGCACTTTGGAAGGCCAAGGTGGGCAGATCATTTGAGGTGAGGGGTTTGAGACCAGCCTGGCCAATATGGTGAAACTCCGTCTCTACTGAAAATACAAAAATTAGCCAGGCATGGTGGTGCATGCCTGTATTCCCAGCTACTCAGCAGGCTGAGTCACAAAGAGTTGCTTGAACCCAGGAGGTAGAGGTTGCAGTGAGCTAAGATCACACTACTGCGCTACAGCCTGGGTGACAGAGTGAGACCCTGTCTAAAAATAAAAAATAAAATACAGGAAATTATATTTTGAAATATTCAGAAAAAGTTCATTTATGCCTAGAACTTATTTTTATGAGAAAATGTTCTATAACTTCTAAAGATTCTAATCATAGATTAATACTCATGTGACTTTTAATTTTGACTTTTATAAGATGCTGTTGTGTATTTCCATTTAGAAATTTACAAATAAAAATTTTTATTTGGGGAAAATAATGACTATAAAAAAATTTTATAAGTATGACAAATAATACTTCCTAGAATTATTTTCCAAGGTAGTTTAATAATCAGACTTATGTAGTTTATAACTAATTAAATACCAGTTGTATAAGAGATCAAATAAGTTAAAATTGAAAGCCATTGTAGAATAAACGATGACAAAGGAAAACACCAACTCTGTGAAACTACTTTAAAATAGCATTTTGGTTTCTAGTCTTTTTCTTATATAGGTATAATGTAGTGTGAGTCATCTGGTCTGTTGTTGCTTTTAAGAAACTTTTTGATCACTTTGTATATTTTTATAGAAATCTCTAGAAGAAAAGATTGGATGCTTGTTGAAATTTTCGGGTGATTTAGATGATCAGACCTGTAGAGAAGATTTACACATCCTTTTCTCAAATCATGGTGAAATAAAATGGATAGACTTCGTCAGAGGAGCAAAAGAGGTTTGGAAACACTCCTATGGTTTTTAGCAATCAGTTTGAAAATCTGTAGAAATTTATCTTGTAGAAGACAAAATTAGTAGAAAGTTATTTTAAAATTGTGTTTATTAAATTAGTTTCTACTTGATCATTTGTTGTTATTGTCACTAGATGTGAAGTCTGATTCTGGATTATCCTAGTTTTTACTTGATCATTTACTTTGTTGTTACAGTATTGTTACTATATGTGATATCTGATAGTTTCTGAATCATATGAATGACTTCATATTGGTGATTGCAGTTTTACTTCTGTAGCATACCTTTTCTAATGTTCAGTAAAAGTCAAACTGGTAAAGGCATAACAGGTTTGCAAGGTAGAAAAAATTACTTTGAACAAAGAAATTAATTGTGGGACTAAAAACTAAGGGTGTGGCTTTCATTTTCTGTCTCTGATATAGGGGATAATTCTATTTAAAGAAAAAGCCAAGGAAGCATTGAGTAAAGCCAAAGATGCAAATAATGGTAACCTACAATTAAGGAACAAAGAAGTGACTTGGGAAGTACTAGAAGGAGAGGTGGAAAAAGAAGCACTGAAAAAAATAATAGAAGACCAACAAGAATCCCTAAACAAATGGAAGTCAAAAGGTCATTTACTCTGATTTTTCTTTAACAGTCTGGTTGTTTAACCCATTTACTTGAGCAAAAACTTTAATCAGTGTTCAAAAACACTGACAAGAGACTTAAAAAAAAAAAACTCTTTACGAAGTGCTCAATTGTGTCTATACAGGTCGCAGATTTAAAGGAAAAGGAAAGGGTAATAAAAGTGCCCAGCCTGGGTCTGGTAAAGGAAAAGTACAATTTCAGGGCAAGAAAACAAAATTTGCTAGTGATGATGAACATGAAGAAAATGGTGCAACTGGTAAGTTTTTTCTAAGTCCTTTGGTAGTTTCATGAGAAAATGTGTACTTCCATAAATAAATGATTTGTCAGACAGAATAGGGATTTGGCCTTTCAACTCCTGGATAAGTGCCATTCGTGGATTATTATTATTTACCTCAGTCATGCTGTTGTATAAGTCAGGTACAGGATATCTGGAAGATGAATCTAGAGGTCAGATGGTCTGTACTAAGAGAAAAACCTTTTGTCATGGGTGCAAGGAAGTTGTTATGTCTTTTTCAACGGTATCATTACAGTATTAGTGATTGTGCTCAGTATTAAAATAGAGCAGTACTTACGTTGAATTTAACAAAAATTGTTATTTTATAGGACCTATGAAAAGAGCAAGAGAAGAAACAGACAAAGAAGAACCTGCATCCAAACAACAGAAAACAGAAAATGGTGCTGGAGACCAGTAGTTTAGTAAACCAATTTTTTATTCATTTTAAATAGGTTTTAAACTACTTTTGTTTGTGGGGGCTTTTAAAAGGAAAACCGAATTAGGTCCACTTCAATGTCCACCTGTGAGAAAGAAAAAAGTTTTTTTGTTGTTTAACTTGTCTTTTTTTCTTAACCAAATGAGAATTTTTTTGAATGTATAGTTCTGTTTGTGTTATTTCAGATGATTCAAATATCAGAAGGAAGGTTCTTCCACTAAATTGCCTTTGTAATATGAGAATGTATTAGTACAAACTAATAAAATATATACTATATAAAAAGAGTAAAAACATAGTTTTTTGTTTTGTTTTCTTTTTGTACCCAGAGCATTCAAAACAACTAGAATATTAGCTATTGCCTATGGGCCCTTCCCACAGGCTATTTATTATGTCTCCTAGGCTGGCTTTCTGTATTTACACAGGAAAGTTGAAAACACTAGAAATAATTATTTGTTACAAAGCTTTTCTTTTTTTTCCTTTTGAGATTGAGTCTTGCTCTGTCGCCCAGGCTGGAGTGCAGTGGCACAGTCTCAGCTCACTGCAACCTCTACCTCTCGGGCTCAAGTGATTCTCCTGCCTCAGCCTCCCAAGTAGCTGGGATTACAGGTGTGAGCCACCGCGCCTGGCCCACAAAGCTTTTCAATACTGAATGTAGTCCAGCCAAAATCAAGAGACTTACGGATTTCTTTTTGTGAAACTTGTATGATGCCGGTAGGTCATATCGAAGCTCTGTAAAACAAAAGCCACCTAAAGATAAAATTATATTTCCGAACATTTACCACCCTTGACTAAACAAATTAAGAAAAACATTAAGTGCTGGTAAACTGAGTATTTTAGAACTTTTAACATATCCAAGTAGTGACTTGCTATATTCCCAGCATTGGCCATGGCAGCTTGGCATTTCTGCCATTATGGCTGTTTATACTGTAATTTGAGATTATAAGTGAAGAGTTTAGAAGGATAAAAGGTGGACAAAAAGTACATCCTCTGAAAATGATGGTACCTTTCTATTTTTCATTTCCTAATAGTTTATATAATTAGCTTAATCTCATAATAACCGTGCTTATTTCAAAATTTTCTAACTCAAGAGTTTAATAATGGTAGTAAGTAGCTAATTATTTTCCTCCTAAGCTCTAAAATGAAAACCAATTTTTCATATTTCTTCCTTCTAAAGAATAATGTAGGCTGTGTGTGGTGGCTCATGCCTGTAATCCCAGCACTTTGGGAGGCCAAGGGTGGAGGACCACCTGAGGTCAGGAGTTTGAGACTAGCCCTGCCAACATGGTGAAACCCTGTCTCTACTGAAAATACAAAAACTTTGCTGGGCATGGTGCGTACCTGTAGTCCCAGCTACTCAGGAGATTGAGGCAGGAGCATTGCTTGAACCCGGGAGGCACAGGTTGCAGTGAGCTGAGATTATGCCACTGCACTCCAGCCTGGGCAACAGAGCAAGACTGTCTCAAAAAAAAAAAAAAGAAATTAGAAAGGTTATCCAGGTGGCATTTTCCATGAATGAATTTCAAACCAAGATCTGACCAACCCCAAGCTCATGTTTTTAATCATTGTGCTGCTATAGTATTCTGCCTGAGTCTGGAGTGACCAAATACCTGAATGCTATTAGAAATTTTCAGTAAATTGCATAAATCAAGACAGTCTCAGGCTAAGTGTTCACTCTGCTTTTATTCCATTTCCAATCTATTACCAATCATGCACATTTTGCCACTCTGTAAAGTATACTTTATAGTATATTTCCTCAGCACCTGCCTGAAAGTTTTGGTTGAGTGAAAGCATGTTGGCCCTTTTGGATATTAGCTTTTGAGATTTATCTTACCTGCAATAATATCTATCTTGATTTTCCATTCTGCAGCTTTCTTTTGAATATGCTAAACATAAATAATATGTTATTATGAACTGATTTTTAAATAATTTTTTAAAAAATTGCTTTTTGCTAATACTTGAGATTGTGTTTTTAAGCTTAAAATTTCATTAGAATCTAGACCCTTGTAAACATTTCAATTGAATGGATAGTATTCTGTAAATAAGAAATCAAGCCATTTCAGTATATTTAACAATCGGAACCAAATCACACAATAAATCCAATTGATAGAAAGCTATTTATGCACCACATAATGCCATTTGGGGTTATCTAGGGACTGCATATAATTTGGTAGTCCCATAAAATTATAAAGGGATCTGAAAAATTCCTGTCGACTAGTGATGTGGCTATCTTGACATCATAGTACAACACATTATCTTTTTGCTGTTTATATATCTTTAGATTAAAAAATACCATTGTGTTACAATTGCTTGTAGTATTCAACACAGCGACATGTTGACAGGTTTGTAGCCTAGGAATAATAGATTAGAACCATAGAGACTTTGTACAATGATGAAATCACCTCGTGATGCATTTCTCAGAATGTATTAGAACATATCCCTGTTGTTAAGGGATGCATGACTATTTCAGAAATCTATCAGAGATGTGTAATGTACTCATGATTTCTGTAGCATTATTTCTTTAATATATACAGCTAGTTATCCTAGAAACCATTTAGCAGAGATCTATGTACATGGGCAATTCAGTTCATGCAATTTTACTGCATGAACTGTATATGAGTTGTGTAAAATTCATGTTATGCCAAGTTGTGCAGAAAAGAGTTCACAGCAGGCCTGACTGCTTATCTTTAGAAAGGCTTGCTTATAAGTTTGGCCCTTGACTGGAGATTGGGAACTTAGATTTTGAGAGGGTTCCCACTCCCTACTCCCTTAATAATAGAGTCTCACTGTGCCTAACACTGTTGATGCTGAACACCTGTTTTCCTACTGGGCGTCTAGAGTTTGAGTATGTGTCAGAAAGGGAACTGCTATATGATCAGTTCCTAATCAAAGTCCTGGGCGCCGAGTCTCTGATGAGTTTCCCTGGTTGGCAGTATTTCACATGTGTTGTTAATAATTCATGCTGGGGAAATTAAGTGTGTTCTGTGTTATTCCTCTGGGTGAAGACTTGGGAAGCTTGCCCCTGGTTTCCCCTATTCTCTGCCCAATGTACCTTTCTTTTTGCTGATTTTGCTCTATATCCTTTCACTGTAATACATCATAGTCATGAATAAGACTGTATGCTGAGTCCTATGAGATTTCCTAGTGAATCATCAAACCTGAAGGTGTTCTTGGGAACACACGTTTGGATACCAGTATTTACTGGTGCTTGCTTTCACATACAGTGAGTGAGGATTTATTCACTAGCTATGTTGTGACCTGTTGCTTGCCTACTGTACCACTGCTCATTGTTAGCAGTACGTTTTTTTAGCTGTTTTATTTTATGTTTTTTAAAGGGTTATCAGATTACCATGTAACTAGAATGTATTATTTCCAACTGGATTTTTTTGTTTTTATATGAATTAAGTATTTTTTCCAACAAAATCACTTTAAAATCTTTGAATACATTTATGATTTAAATAATAATAACTAACATGCAGTTATACATGTCAGACACTGATCTAAGTGCTTTGTAAATACTAACTCATGTAATCCTCACAATTCTTATGAACTATTGGGTACTCTTAGTCCCTTACACTTAGAGTACAGGTGAGAACAGTATAAATGACAAAACTGAAGCTCAATTACCTTGACCAAGGTAACAGCTGGGAAGCAGCCAAGCTTGGATCTGAACCCAGGGTGTCTGGTCTGGCTTCAGAATCTCTGTCCCTAACCACCATGTTATACCCACACTAAAAAAATGTACTGTCCCTCCTCTCAGTTTCCTGGAATACAACTTATACACCCCTTCATGTGTTATATGCTGCAAAAATAAGAATAGATGATATCTGAACTCAGATCTGTTTAGCTCTAGGCTCAGTGTTCTGAAAACCTGGCCTTACTGCCTCCCTTAAGTACATCAGGCCACACAAGGACAATGGGACAAAAAGCATCAACTGAGACTTAACAGAGAAATCAAAACATACTGTAATGCTAGTTATAACACACTTCTCTACTCCTGAGTTATACTCTTGTGACAACAGTTCCTGTCTGAAAAAATCTTTGAGGAAAGCAGTCTTATAACCTGGAAAAAGACCAATCATAGATGCTAGCTGGCTAAGCGGAAAATTTAGTTCCTAAGTTTCAGATGTCAAAAAGGTCAGGAGAAATAGATACTGTGGTATCTAGTATTCACAGCAAATCCTAAAAACACTGTCATGAATTTAAAAATAAATGCCACTGAATATCAGATGATTTGAACTTACTTCTCTAGTTGAGGATTTGTGTAAAGAATATACTGCTGTTCTTGCCATTTCCAGAGCAGTCTTTAGAAAAGTCATATCTGTCCCTGTGAAGAGTAGGAAAAAAAGCTCCTTTTTACCTCTTATCAAAATAGAAGATTAAGTTAGTAGGATTTAGAAACATTTTCTTCCAAACTCCAAAATAGCCACCTTGAAATCTTTTAGCAATAAGGGTACAAATAAACTATCAAAATATTATTTTAAGATTGGTAGAATAAAATCAGAATTATACTGTCTTGGTTAAATAAGGCTAAAGTAAAAATTTTAATATTCCAACATTAATGACTTTCAAAAAGGGGAGAAGGAAACGTGTATCGTAGTATTCAGAATCATCTTGGTGGGGGCCGGGTACTTTTTGAACTATGCATGACTTTTCCTACCCTCACTGACTTCCTAAACTCCTTGCCCACGGTGCACACAAAATTAACAGCCACAGTGAGTCACTGTTACTGATGGGCACATGTAGAAATCCTTGCGTCTGTTAAGACATTAAAAAACAGGTTCTAAAAGTATAAAATTCTTTGTATGTTTCATATTCATTCAAAAGGGTTACGCAAATTATTCTTGAAAACAAATGGGAGACATACAATGAATGAAATGACTCTTTGTTTACTTAATACAAATTTGTAAAAACAAAAGTTGAAAAACTCAATTTCTGGCATGGTGGTTCACGCCTGTAATCCAAGCACTTTGGAGGCCAAGGCGGGCGGATCACCTGAGGTCGGGAGTTCAAGGCCAGCCTGACCAACATGGTGAAACCCCATCTTTAAAAAAAAAAAAAAAAAAAAAACTCAATTTCTTAGCCATACATTAAACAAATTGAAATTTAAATTATAAGAACTATACAGGTGGGCTGGGCGCGGTGGCTCACACCTGTAATCCCAGAACTTTGGGAGGCCGAGGTGGGTGGATCACGAGGTCAAGAGATCGAGACCATCCTGGTCAACAAGGTGAAACCCCGTCTCTACTAAAAATACAAAAAATTAGCTGGGCATGGTGGCGCGTGCCTGTAATCCCAGCTACTCAGGAGGCTGAGGCAGGAGAATTGCCTGAACCCAGGAGGCGGAGGTTGCGGTGAGCCGAGATCGTGCCATTGCACTCCAGCCTGGGTAACGAGAGCGAAACTCTGTCTCAAAAAAAAAAGAAAAAAAAGAAAAAAAAAAGAACTATACAGGTAAGAGATTGGTTTACTTAATGAAGAGTAGTAAAATGACTTATCCTTAGTTTAATGAAGAGTGATAAAATCACCTAGCCCAAACAGTCAATGATAAAAATGGTTTTTATTTTTTCTAGACACGGTTTTGCTGTCTCCAAGGCTGGAGTGCAGTGGCACATTCATAGCTCATGGCAGCCTTGAATACGTGAGCTCAAGTGATCCTTCTACCTCACCCTCCCGAAGACCTAGGACTATAGGCTCACCATCACACTTGGCTAATTAAAAAAAATTTTAGTTGTTGTTGAGGCAGGGTCTAACTGTGTTGCCCAGGCTGGCTTTCAACTCCTGGCCTCAAAGAATCCTCCTGTATCGGCCTCCCAAAGCACTGGGATTACACACCTTAGCCACTGTGCCTGGCCTTAAAAATAGTTTTAAAAATGTGTCTATAAATATAGCAATATACCTGATTCTTGTTACAAACCTTTATTATTTTTGGTCCCAAAGGGAGGATTCATAATTACTGTATCAAATGACTTGGACATTCTGTTAGATAATAAGCACACATCACATTGAATCATGTCAATATTTGTTAACTCAAACTCTTCCACATTCCTGTTAAATATTTCCAATGCATCTTCATCTATGTCAAATCCAACACACAACCTATAAATACAAAACACACACAGAGTTGTGACTTATAGCTCCCAAGTAAAAACAAAAACAAAATTAGCTTTTTAAAAAAACCACGTATCTTTTTAACCCAATTAGCAAAATAAGAATGTTTTCTTTTTTTTTTTTCCAGACAGGATCTTGCTGTGTCACCCAGATGAGTGTAGGGGTGCCATGCCATCCTGATGCACTTCAGCCTCAACCTCTTGGGCTCAAGCAGTCCTCCCACCTCAGCCTCCCAAGTAGCTAGGACCCCAGGTGCATGACACCACACCCAGCTAATTTTTGTATTTTTTGTAGACATGGGGTTTCACCATGTTGCCCAGGCTGGTCTCAAACTCCTGGGCTCAAGTAATCTGCCCACCTTGGTCTCCCAAAGTGCTGGGATTACAGGCATGAGCCACTGTGCCTGGTCAAGTGTTGCTTTCAATAGCATAATTTCCCAACCTGGCAGAGGTTGGAAACTCAGGTTTGTATAAAAGGAACTACTGCTTTTACCATTTTAATTTATTTTGTGTAGTTTGTTTAGATCTACTCATTCAAAATCTATTCGGTATCAGATTTTTGCTCCCTATATCTCATTCTTTGGAGTCTCATAAATATGATTCAGTTAATCACATTGCTGCTCCTTATTAAAACCACCCAATATCCCCACCCAATACCCAAATAGTATATATTGCATTACGTACCCTGCTCCTAACATTGCACTTCCGATGCTAAGTACTCCACAACCACAACCTAGATCGGCAACGACTTTATTTTCAATGTCATCATAAGTGTTATGGATTGTATACAGCATACATGCTAAAAAATAAAAACTAGAGAATAAGCAAGCTGATGACTAAAACCAAATTGTGCAAATGACTCTTTCTAAAATAATTTCTTGTCTTGCATTACTTAGTCCTTTCCCAAATGGCATTCCAGATTATTTTTTTAAAAAGATAAGGTATAATAATTTGGTATGTAGTAAAGAGGCACCACAGAGGAGGCTAATACCCACCAGTGGTTCTCAAAAAATAGTCTCTGTTAGCAATGCCAAGAATGACAAAACTGTGACCAGTCTCTGATGTAAAATGAGGAAAAAAAAGTCAAAATGTTTTTTTTCTCAGCTTGTTCAAAACATTGCCATACACTCATATCAGTTCTTTCTGTGATGCTGAAATATTTTTTTTTTTTTTTTTTGAGACGGAGTTTCACTCTTGTTACCCAGGCTGGAGTGCAATGGCGTGGCTCACCGCAACCTCCGCCTCCTGGGTTCGGGCAATTCTCCTGCCTCAGCCTCCTGAGTAGCTGGGATTATAGAAACACACCACCATGCCCAGCTAATGTTTTTGTATTTTTAGTAGAGACGGGGTTTCACCATGTTGACCAGGATGGTCTCGATCTCTTGACCTCGTGATCCACCCGCCTCGGCCTCCCAAAGTGCTGGGATTACAGGCTTGAGCCACCGCGCCCGGCGATGCTGAAATATTTTTATGAAGGAATGGTAAGAGTAAATAGGTTTTAAAAAAAATCCTTCCTCGTCAACATAAATTTGGCAACTCCGTATCAGTTTCCAAAATTGATTTGAAATTTTACTTATCTGTGAAATCTGTAAAACTAGGAACCACTATCAAACCAGCATTAGCATCACAAAGACACAGAACCTTTTTTTTTCCTTTTGTTTTTTTAAAACACAGACAGGGTCTCACTATACTGCCCAGGCTGGTCTGGAACTCCAGGGCTCAAGCAATCCTCCTACTTCAGCCTCCCAAAGTGTTGGGATTACAGACATGAGCCACTGTGCCCAGCCACAGAAATTTGTTTTAACAAGTTTGTCACCAGAACACAAGCACCATAAGCTCCACAATATGGCTTTTAGACACATATATTCATGATCTACAGACATGTATATTCATAATCTACAAATGAGACCTCATAATAGAACTACTGGGTATTAGATATACTGAAGGTTAAACATAAATAACATCACCACTGACATCTTCCTGAAGATACCTGAATCCAGTAAAGGCTGCTGGCCATTGATACCCGAGGATCCAGAGGGGTTTTTTTGTTTTGTTTTTTCAGAGATAGGGTCTATCTCTATCACCCAGACTGGAGTGCAGTGGCAGGATCAGAGCTCACTGCAGCCTGAAGCTCCAGGGCTCAGGTGATTCTCCTGACTTAGTAATAGCAGTTGGGACTATAGGCGAATACTACCACACACAGCTAATTTACTATTTTTTTTAAGAGCTGGGTCTCACTGTGTTGCCCAGGCTGATCTTGACCTCCTGGCCTCAAGTCATCCTCTTGCCTCAGCCTCCCAAATTGCTGGGATTATAGGGGTGAGTCACCGTACTTGGTCAGATTGTTACCATTTTTTAAATTGGATTCCGCTAAAAAAACTACATTCAGCAGACTAGTAAGTCATTATTTCAGAAAATTGGTCTTAACCTAGACACAGTAGTTTTGAGCAAATTTTTGGTTGGAATCATACAATATCTTGACGTTTAAATGTAAATACACATGTATTCTCCTTGACTTTCATTGGCAGCTTAGAAACGACTATTTTGGAACTGGAAAAAACTCCTTGCAGGTGCTTTCAGAAAATTAATTTTTCTAAGGGGCCAGGCTCAGTGGCTCATGTCTGTAATCCCAGCACTTTAAGAGGCTAAGGTGGGAGGATCACTTCAGCTCAGGAGTTTGAGACCAGCTTGGGCAACATAGCAAGACCCTGTGTCTACAAAAAATAAAAATAAAAAAATATTAGCCAGGCATGATGGTGTGTGCCTGTAGTCCCAGCTGCTCAGGAGGCTTAGGCGGGAGGATCACTTGAGTCCTGGAGGTCAAGGCTGCAGTAGGCATGATCATGCCACTGCACTCCAGCCTGGGTGACAGAGTGAAACACCCATCTCAAAAACTAATAAAAATATTTTTTTCTAAGGCTTCCCAATGACTTCGGTAACACAGATAGATGTTTTCCTGTATTCTCTCTTGTATTCCCAGTTATCAATGTCTGGCATGAAATGACAATGCTAATGCTCAGAAAAATCTGTTAAAATTAATATGCACGCCCACTTTTATACAGCACATATTCTGATTCTGTTAAACAACCCTTCCACTATCAACTCTAGTATTCATTTCTAGGGCACAGTATAGCACAAAAATCCTTAGTTGCAATAGGAAATTGATCTTTACTTAGCAGATATTTACTGAGCTCCTAAATAGTACCACCAGCAACTCTTCCAGGCACTGGGAATTCAAGTATGAACGAGACCAACAAATACCTTGTCCTCAAAGAGTTTATAACGTGAGAAGTGGGGGAAGAAAAAAAAAAAAAAAAAAAAACCCACCACATTAAAAAAGTGTCTGGCAGTGTTAAGGGACCTGCAGAAAACTAGACAGGAAAACGATAAATTGTGTGTGCGTCTGTGGAGGGCGTGCCTTGAGGTGCAGTGTCAAAGAAGAACTCTCTAACGCGATAGGTGATCTTAGGGCTAAATTTCTCTAGACATTCTCTGTATCCAAATAACTTCTATTTTTATCACAGAGTAGACTGGACTAACGCTGAAGGCAGGGGAGTGGTGAACCAGCCGCCCTACCTGCAATGTGCGGCCTGGTGGGATACTGTTCTAGAAGCAGCTTGGGCTTTTCGAATCCATCCACTTGTTGCAGGCGACACTCTAGTTCCTTAAGCCTTAATTTCTTCATTTTGCTTTAAAGCATGGGGTCACAGGGTTTGAAGGCACAGGATCTGCGGAGAAATCTATTGAACTGGGATGTTTCCTCCCTACCCCCAACCTTCCCCCCTATTCAGCACCGCTGGCCAGACCCAAAGATGCGCTCTAAGGAGACGCCGCGATGCTGGGCACAGGGCGAGCCTCGGACCCACCTCCCGGGTAACCCACGCGGTCCCGGGAGACTGCGACGGCGCCTGGCTGAAGCCCCAGAATACCTCGCGGCAGGACCTCTGGAGGCGACCTGCACTTCGGCCGGGGCCGGAAGCGCCAGCCCGTACCCGCGCACGCGTTCGCCGCCCAGCGGCCTGGCGCCGAGCTGCAACGTCTGTCCTGCGCCGGGGTTCAGCTGGCCACCTGGGGGCCTCATCGCCCCATCAGCGCCACCCGCAAAGTCTGTGCTACTCGCAGATCCACCACCAGCCCTTGCCATTCTGTCGAGTGCTAATTAATTACCCTCTAGTTTGCACTGAGTACCTGCCGGCCCTCAAAGGATGGGGAAAGGTAGAGAGTGAAAGGGAAGCGGGAGAGAAAGTCACAGTCACTTTGTTGCCTGGCCCAGAGTGACTCTTTTTATTTCCCAAGTTTCGGCTAAGAAAGTAGCGATCTCCATTCACCTTTACCTCCTTCGCCATTCTCATGCCTCACTTTATTGTAATTTTGTTTCCCAATTTTTCGGTAATTTTTGTCACTTGGAATTCTCACAGGGATGGTGATGTCAGAGAAACCCAAAGAAGAGAGAGTGGAAATGGAAGAATAGGCAGTGGTGTCAAATACTGGAAAGAGGTCGGGCTTCATAAAGTAGGAGTAGAAATCAAGTTGCGGCAGATCGTGGAGCGAATGGAAGTTTAGGAAGAAGAAAGAGTGGCGCCGGGCGCGGTGGTTCATCCCTGTAATCCCAGCACTTTAGGAGGCCAAGGCGGGCAGATCACGAGGTCAGGAAATCGAGACTATCCTGGCAAACATGGTGAAACCCCGTCGCTACTAAAAATACAAAAATTAGCTGGGCGTGGTGGCAAGTGCCTGTAATCTCAGCTATTCGGGAGGCTCAGGCAGGAGAATTCCTTGAGCCAGGAAGTCGGAGGTTGCAGTGAGCCGATATTGCACCACTGCACTCCAGCCTGGAGACAAAAAAAAAAAAAAAAAAAAGGCAAGAAAGAGAGAAATGTGGCATACGAAAAGAAGAGAATGGTTGATAGTAAGGTTGGGGGAAGCCTAATTATTTTTTCAATTTTTTTTTAAGATAGGAGGAGACAAATTCTGAAACGATTGAGCTAATAGAAAGAGAGAGGTTTAAAATACAAGAGGATATTGGATGGAGTTGGGATCCTAAGAAGGCAGGGTCCAATGCTTAAGTAAAAGGATTGCCTTTAAGCCTGCGGATGGACACCTCTGCATTATTAAAGGAAAACGAAAAAGAGTGAATGGGTGATGACGAAGTAGAAAAGTGTCCCAGGCTGCCACTTCCTAGGAATAGTAGAATTCAAAGTTGCCTGTTAGAATCAAATGAGTTAAAACACAGTTTTTGGCACGTAAAGTTAAGACATGAAGCTTTATTTGGTTTATAATTCAGTGATTCATAAAGAAAATTATTGAGCAAATTTAACTTATCACTGTTAAGATTGTGAAGTACTTAACTAATGTAGAAAACCAGGACGGTAAAATGACATGTTTTAATTATGTTTCATTCATTTCAAACACAGGGTTACGGATTGGAAACAACTCTGTGCTTTTTTGGAGATGGAGTCTCACTCTGTCGTCTAGGCTGGAGTGCAGTGGTGTGATCTCGTTTCACTGCAATCTCCACATCCTGGGTTCAAGCGATTCTCCCGCCTCAGCCTCCCGAGTAGCTGGGACTACAGGCGAGCGCCACCACTCCCGGTTAACTTTTGTATTTTTAGGAGAGACGGGTTTTATCATGTCGGCAGGCTGATCTCTAATTCCTGACCTCGAATAATCCGCCCGCTTCGGCCTCCCAAAGTGTTGGGATTACAGGCGTGAGCCACCGCGCCCGGCCTTCTGTTCTTCTTTGGACTGCTCTTCCTACAAATTTTTTTTTCCCTTAAGTTGGAGTCTCACACCATCGCCCAGGCTGGACTTTGATAACAGTAGGAATGCACATCTCAGAACAAAATGCAGATGCCTAAAATACATCTGAAAGATGCTGTGAATAATTCCTGTAGCCTATGCAAGTAAAGAAATACTTGACCTTATTAGAGATTTCCTATAAGATGAGTATTTCAGTAGTTCTTAACTTGGAAAGTTAGGAGCCCACTGGGCGCCGAGGCCAGAGGGGCGGGGAGAAGACTCTGCAGCCCGAGGGGGCGTGTGCAGGGGCGTGGCCGAGGGCGGAGGAGCTCGGCCGCTCCGGGTATCGCGAGAGTTGGGCGGGCCGAGCAATCGCAGCAGTCTATTCCCCACTCTCCCCGGAGGAGCCACCGGCCCTGGACTCTCCAAATTCTGAGCTCTCATCATGGCGGCGGCGGCCGCGGCTGCCGTCGGGGGCCAGCAGCAGTCTCAGCCCGAGCTGGCCGCGTCGGGGCTGGCCCTAGACAAGGCGGCCACCGCCGCGCACCTCAAGGCGGCCCTCAGCCGGCCGGACAACCGCGCAGGTGCTGAGGAGCTGCAGGCGCTGCTGGAGCGGGTGCTGAGCGCCGAGCGGCCGCTGGCCGCTGCTGCGGGCGGCGAGGACGCGGCGGCGGCCGGAGGCGGGGGTGGTCCGGGGGCGGCCGAAGAGGAGGCCCTGGAGTGGTGTAAGTGCCTTCTGGCGGGTGGCGGCGGCTACGACGAGTTCTGCGCGGCGGTCCGGGCCTACGATCCCGCGGCGCTCTGCGGCCTGGTCTGGACAGCCAACTTCGTGGCCTACCGCTGCCGGACGTGCGGCATCTCGCCCTGCATGTCGCTGTGCGCCGAGTGCTTCCACCAGGGCGACCACACCGGACACGACTTCAACATGTTCCGCAGCCAGGCCGGGGGCGCGTGCGACTGCGGGGACAGCAACGTGATGCGGGAGAGCGGGTGAGTGGAGCCCTCCCCGCGGGCGAGGCGACCCTGCGTCGGGGGCGTCGCGGGAGGGCCTGGAGCGGGGCACTGGGAGCCCACTCTGAGCTGTCAAGGGGAGGGTGCGGGGGAGGATGCAGCCACAGGGGGTTGGAGGTGACTGAGCTGTCAGCGGTGGAAAGGGGGTGGGGAGGAGGGAGGAGAGGAGAGCAGAGAGCTTGTTTAGGAAACCCGGCTGTGAATTTTGGGGAAGCCAGGTTGGGTAAATGATAGCGAGGAAAGAGCCAGTGTGTGGGGTGGGAGGGGAGTGAGGGGGAAAGGATTTTGGTGGAAGCTCGTGTCGAGCTGTCAATTGTGTACTTATTGGGAAAGGCTGTAAAGCCTGGTTCTTGGGAAGAGACTTAGGTTGTGATTTGGATTGGCTTGGAGGAGGGTGCTATTGGGGACCGCATTGGCTCTCGGGATGATGAGAGCTGGGGAGGTGGTCTTGTACGTACGTGCAGGGAAGGACGGTTGAGGAAAAGGGCTTCTGAACTGCCAGTGTGTCTGTCAGTGTGAGAGAGAAGGAGCTCTTGAGGGTTGAGGGAGGAGGGAAGGGGAGGGGCCTGCATGAAAAGTGACTGTTGAGCTGTCAGTGGAGTATTTGGTATGCTGGAATGACATTTAGAATTGGGCTACTGAGCAGTCAGTTACAGAATACCCTCCATACCAGGAGAGCAAACAAAATACTGAGCGAATTACGAATCAAGTATTAGGTCTTCTCCAGTTAAGGGTAGTTTGTTCACTCACTGATATGTGAATATCTGTCTAAGAGGAGACAGCAAATGTCCTTTTGACAGAAGCGATACACCAGATGTTGGGACTTATGAGAAAATAAAACATTTCAGAGTTTGCAGTGAGTTACAGGGAGTTGGTACATGTGGGGTCTTGGCTTGGAACATGATGTCAGTGTCAGGGACAGTATGAGAAAAAAGGAAAAAGTGAAAGAGGGGCAATTTTGGCTGGACAGTACTCGAAAGAACGTTAGCAACTACTAGTTGCTACCAGTTATTAAACTTCTTCAATTTTCAGGTCTTAAGATTAATGCAGAGTGTAATCTTTTTATAAATGGTCCCTTCTTCTTCGGACTACTCGTAAGGTTACTGTTACTCCAAAATGTTTGTACCTACTATGTGCAAGCAAGGCTATTTGGACATTAAAAATGAATGAAAGATTGACCAATCCCTTACTCTACTTGCACTGGAGTAGAAAGTAATACATTCCTTAAACAGTAACTTGGGAGTTAGAGGAGAGAGAGGAGGTTTCTGTGCAGGCAGAGTAAGAAAAGATCTTCAGAAAGGAGGTGTTTTTGAACTTGCTAATGACAATAACATAATTGCAGCTAACATTTGAGTTCTTGAACTGTACTCTGACAATTTAAAAGTACTTTTTAAAATTTAATATTTGAATAGGTAAAGTATATCGCTAAAAAAGCAAATACACACACACGCACACACACACACACACACACGGAAATTTTTCTCTCATCCAGTCTTCTACCTGTCCAGTTCCTTCTTGCTTAGTTTCTCTTACTGCAGAACAAGCAAGTGTGTTTCTTAGTTTTTCAGTCTCTTTTTGCGCAAAGGGTTACATACTGTCCACTGTTCTACATTTTGCGTTTTTTAGTTATCTTAGATGTATTTCAATATCAGTGTTCTCATTAATAAATCAGTGTTCTCATTCTGTTTTTTTTTTAAAAACTGCTGCATAGTGTTCCATGTTATGAATTTGCCATTCCTTTTTAAATTTCATTTTTAATTTTTTGTGAATTTGCATTCTTGATTTAATATCTCTTCATGGGCATTTGGCTTTCCAGTATAAACTCAAAAATGTGGTATATATCTGTCTTTTCCCACCTGTGCAAAAATGTCAGTGAAATAAATTCTCAAAAGTGGGATTTCCCAATTGCCCTGCCTAAGGCTTAGTACTAGTTACTGTATGAGACTACCTGTTTTCCAAAAACCTCATCAACAGAGTAGTATTAAAATTTTGGGTGGCCACATTCTAGCTGTTATAAGTGATTTAACTTATTTATTCTTTGACTCTGAGATTGTTATTTTATTCTCATTGTACAGAAGAGGAAATTAGGGCTGTTAAAACACTTGCTCAGGATCACACAGGTAGTAAGCAAGGCTCCAGGGCTCAAGAGCTGGACTAGTCAACCATTTCTCTCTACTGCCTCTACTAAATAGCATTCTTATTGGTTCTTCTTTTCAATACTATG